TGGTAGCACATCCATTCCTTCACCGGCTTGCTCTTGCCTTGGTAGCAAATCCATTCCTTCACTGGCTTGCTCTTGCCTTGGTAGCACATCCATTCCTTCACTGGCTTGCTCTTGCCTTGGTAACACATCCATTCCTTCACTGGCACTGGAGTCCTATTTCCTAAAGACCAACTGAGACATCTAGCCTCGTGATCCTGAGCAACTACTAGATTCTTAGACTTTCTGGTCCCAGTTAGCCATTGTTAGATTAGATCCTCTCATATTTCGATATATATTTTACTTCTTTATTTTGACAGAGTGCATTAGTGAGGGTTCTCTAGAGTCACAGACCTTAGTAAATTATTTTCTCTGTCTGTCTCTCTCTGCCTCTCTCTCTCTCTCTCTCTCTCTCTCTCTCTCTCTCTCTCTCTCTCTCTCTCTCCCTCCACACCTGGAGTGATGCCACCTCTACCCGCACTGCAGCTCGAAAGTCTCCCCCAGGATGCTGACCCTCAGAGACTTCCATTAGAGACTAGACCTGATCTTCAGCTAAAATACAACACACAGGTGAGCAGCCTTGGGAAGATAGGCTTAGGACCATAGTTAGGAATTTTAGAGTGTGAACCTTGTGTGATTAACCTCAGCATAATAAAATATAACTTTTATTGTACTAAATACTATGTATATCTACCTTCTTGCTTGAGATACAGAGGCAGGTTGATCTCTGTGAATTCAAGTTCAGTTTGGTCTTAGATTGAGTTCCAAGACAGCCAGGGATACACAGAGAAATCCTGTCTACAAACAAACAAACAGGGGGAGTATGATAGGACACACCTACAATCCAACCATCTGGGGGGTTTATTTGAGAGGATCTTGAATTCAGAACTAACCTGAACTACAAAAACTGTGTCTTAATAAAGAAAAAAAAAGAACTTAAATGGTAAATTCTGTTATGTATCTCCTATCACAATGAGGGAAAAATTAATTTACTAGATTACTTTATAGAAAGTAAATTCTGCTGGTACAGATAATTTTTACTCTTTAGCAATTTGAAAGGAACACTCTTATTTATTCATTTAGAGATGGTTGATCTCAAACTCACTCTATAGCTAAGGGATAGTCTTGAACTTTTTTTTTTCTTTTTCAAAACAGAGCTCCTCTATACAACAGAGCCCTTGCAGTCTTGGACTCACTTTGTAGGCCAGGCTGGCTTCGAACTCACAGAGATCCTGCCTCTGCCTCCCAAACACTGGAGTTAAAGTGCTACCATGCCAGACAGCCTTCAACTTCTAATCTTCTTGCCTACTCCCTGCCTCGTTCTGGGATTACAGGTGTGCCACCAAGCCCAGTTCGTTTATATGCTACTAGGATCAAATTCAGTACACCTAGTATGTCAGTTAGTCAAGCAGTGGACCAGCCGGGCTTCATTCCCAGCCCCATCTCCAACAACGTAAAGCTGTTAAACTTTTGAGAAGACCAAATCCATGGTTGTCCAATTAAAGCAAGCTGTATTGTGGGGGTACACCTTGGCCAACTGGCTATCTCATCCTAAATTCGGTTTTGAGAGAGCAGCCCGTTGGCTTATAGAGAGATAAAGCGTTTACAGAGTTGGCTGTTAATTCGTTTTTATAAAGATATAGTGAAAGGGAAGGAACTAGGGTAAGTAGGGTACACCACGTGAGTGGGATTGTAGTTTACATCAGATCTGAGAAACAGGAACTTTTTTTTTTCTTAGTTTTTTAAGTTTCACTATGTAGCTTTGGCTGTCTTGGAATTCACTCTGTAGACTAACTAGACTGGCCTCAAACTCAGAGATCCGCCTGCCTAGCCTGGTCTCACAATGTCATAAGACTGAAAACAATTGAATTCTCAACAGATCCAGATCAAGGTGGGTAGCTGCTGAGTAAACGTGATAACGCCATTTTATCCCAAATCTCGACCCTATAAATGAAACTTTAAGCACTGTTTCTGTGGTTTTTCTTCATAAATGTGAAGTTAAGATTTATTACGGTGCAAACGGGGCAATGTGAGAGACGTTGATGGCAGAATAAAGCTAAACGAAACACGAGAACCTCCCGACCCCGGGGCGGTGATTCTATGCTTGGATTAGACGAAGAAGAGGAAGGGGCGGGGTCGCGTTGGTGCGCATGCCCCCCGCCGGTCCCTTGAGCAGCCGCTCTAGGCAGCGGGGAGGTCGCGCGGGGTCGAGAGCATAAAGCGGTCTCTCCTCTATGGTTGCGGGAGCTGATCTCGGTCGGCCCGTAGGCCTAGGTTATTTCCGGAAGTGAAGCCTGCCGCGGGGTCCTGGCGGGTGGCGGTGGCCGAGTGGGTCCCAGGACTAGTGGCGAGGTGAGCTTCGGCACGGTGTGGGGTGGTAATGGGACGGCAGGGCGCTTGGCTTGGGAGTGCGGCGCGGGAGACGGAACTGAACCCGCTCCCCGAGCCGCGCTGGCGGAGTGGGCCCAGGCTCGCGGGCCTCCTCACCCCGGCCTGGGCGCGTCCCTGCCGGGCTGCGGACGGCAGCTTGACAGTTCCCCTTCTCTTCCGAGATGAAACCCCACGCCACCGCGGGTCTCTAGTTCTCGCCCGCGTCGGGGTCTGAGTCAGAGCACTCGCCCCTGGCGTGGTGACGGAGAAGAGGGTCTTGTTCCCACTCACTTTCGGGCTAGGGGTGCCCGCCACGTCGGCTAGAACCTTCCTGTCCCAAGGCAGAGAATTTATAATGGGAAATGCGGATAACGGAACTTTAGACTCCAAAGTGACATTGGGGCAGACCTAGAGCTTAGCTCTTTTCATTCCCATACTCACGACTCAGAAATCGTGTGCCAAGGAGAGCGTGTGTGTGTGTTTTAAGAGAGAGACGATGTTTCTAACTAGGGACCTTTAACTGGACAAGGGGCAAACCCCTAACTTTGGTTGAGAAGAGAAAGTGTGAGCCTTAACAGGCTCTCAACTGTCGCCGTTGGGTCCTCCCCACGGAAGCCCATTGGTCCGTCCTTGGAGTGGCCCCAACGTCACACCAGGAGGGGCCAATAAAGAGTTTTCCTCTCATCTTTAGGTACTGACTGCACGTGCCAATGAAGTTTTATTTATTTTTGTCACTGCTGTTTTATAAACAGGATGTGTCCCGACCCAAGTCCACGGTATATACCTGGGTATATCGTCCATAAACCTAATAGGAAAACCGTACTCCGTCTGGGCCTGTTCAGACACACACACACACACACCCTTTTTTTTTTCCTTTCCTTCTGGCGTTATAAATACTAATCACACTGTAGCCAGCATTCTGTAAGATGTGACTGTTAGCGGGGCAGTGGTGGCTCACGCCTTTAGTCCCAGTACTTGGGAGGCAGAGGCAGGCGGATTTCTGAGTTTGGGGCCAGCCTGGTCTACACAGTAAGTTCCAGGACAGCCACGGCTACACAGAGAAACCCTGTCTTCAAAAACAAACCAAAAAAAAAAAAAAAAACCAACCAAACAAACAAACAAAAGATGTGACTGTTAGTAATGCTATTAGTATCAGTAAACTTTTTACCTGTCTGTGGACACAGTTTGACATCTAATCCAACAATCCTTTAGCTATTAGTGTGGACTGATAAGTGGGAAGTAACGAAGCTCAAGGATGACAAAAGGTGACCAGATTGGGAGCCCAGGTCAGCCTCACCCTGAACACTTAATTTGGGTTTGGGGTTTTGTTTTTTTGTTTATTGGGATGGGGGATTGGGACAGGGTTCTCTGTGTAGTCTTGACTGTCCAATAATTCAGACCAGGATGGCCAACAATGCATAGAAATCCACATGCCTGTGGAGATTAAATGCTACCATGCCTGGCTTGTTTTATTTGTATAGTCCAGGCTGTCCAAGAATAACTCTTGGACTCCTGATTTCCCTGGATTTCTGAATTGAGTAACAGGAAATGGAGAAGGGAGAAAAAGAAACTCTTGAAGTGACACTGGGACTAGAGTTTCCCTTTTTTGACTTCCAGCCCCTGACTCAGAAATCTGGACTTGTGCAAAAGAGAGATTTCCCTGATATAAAAGGTGTGTGCCACCATGCCCAGTTTATACACTGCTGATGGTAGAAGCAGTCAGCAACCACTCTACCAAATAGTCCAGATTAGGTTACAGACAAATAAACCTGACACAGTTAACCTGGGTTTGGAGTGGATTGATCATCAAAGACAATTTGTATCTTCTTGGTGGATACTTTGGACTCAGAAATCTTAACAGATGGGAGTGTAGTGATCCATATAAGATAGTTACTGACAACCGTGCTGATTAAGCCAATTAAGACAATAATTTTAAGTCCTTTTTATTGGTGGCAAGACCAAAAGTAGGCTTGTGCCTCTGAAAATATCTCTTGCTGCCTTGACTCAGGGATGGAGTTTTTAAAGGAAAAAAAGCCAAAAACCTCAAAGACCTTAATTTACATCAGAGTTAAATGGATCAAAGTAAGCTTTCATTCCTGGCAGGGCGTAATTTTAAATGTAACCTAAAAATGGGTTGGCAAGGCAGACATTGGGTTGGGGAAAGAGGAAAGACAAAATATATTTAAAACAGGATGGCATTACCTTAGTCATTTCAGGAGGAGGAGTATATGAGAAAAACACTCAAGGAGCAGAAACAAAAAGAAAAAAAGGTGGTCTATGAACCGAGTCTAATCTTAGTAATAGAAGTAACATTTTCATGGAGCCTACTGTGTGCTAGGAACTATTCTGAATTGTGATATATGGTTATTATTCCCATTGTACAGGTGATACAAAGAAAGGCAAATGACTTACCTGAGATCAAGCAGCTAATGGTTTGTTGAGCTAAGATTTAACTTGATCATTCTGGCTCAAGAGTTTGTGCTATAAGTGAAAATGTTAGTTTGACAGCCAGACATGATGGTGTCTTAGCATTTACCAAGCCAAAGCCCGATGGCACAGACCTTTAGTTACTTGATAGACCAAGGCAGGAAGATTGCAAGTTCAAAGCCTTAGTTATGTGGATTGAGGCCAAAGGTCCTGCCTCTGTAGTAAAGTGTATTTAGAGTGAACAAAGTCCTGGCTTCAGTTCCCAGCACTAGTAAAGTTAGTTAGTTTACTATTTCACCATGCATACTCTTCACTGAATAAAACCACAAATGTAGGTTTTATTTTGTTGTATTTATTTATTTGTTTATTTATTTATTGTAGTAGGGAGTGTTGTTTTGTTTTGAGATGGTTTTGTGCATCACTCACTGGCTGGCAAAGGATGGCCTTGAAATCCTAGTCCTTCACCACTCAGCTGCTGGGGTTACAGGCTTGTGTCATCGGATCTAGTTTAGTAAGGAAGGTTTTGAGCAGTTTGATGGGAATTTTGCTCTAGGGAGATGCTCAAGCATCGAAAAAGAGAGATTAACAAAAGAGAATAGGCAGTGAGCATTATTTAATTTTCACTTTAGCTATACCTAGTCTGAGACACAGTTAAGCATTTACATGCAGATTATACGTAGTTCTAAACTTCCAGGGTCATGAAAATCTTGTGAAGAACTTGTTTCAGGTACATAGTCAGGTCCATATCCATGGATTGCATATCTGCAAGTTCAACAGTGGATGAGGGGAAACAATACAGTTCAATTGTGGGCTAGAGAGTGTAGCTCGTAGTATGGTGTTTATCTATCATGTATGGTGGTCCTGAGTTCTACCTTCAGTCCCGCCAGAAAAATCCAGGCAGTTCCAAGAAGTAAATTTGATTTTTTTTTCCATATGCTAAGCACTACACTGAATCCAGAGAAATGAGGCTCTGTGTAAGTGCACACACCCTTTGATAGCTTCCTACCGCTCCACAGATCCTTAGCCTCTCCAGTTCTCTGGGCATTGTTTGCCTGGTATTTTGATCATGTGTACTTTGTAGTCAGGCTTACTGTGGTTGCTTGTATAGCAAGCATGTGTAAGAGATGACTAAAACAGCCTGGTGGTGGTGCCACAAGCCTTCAGTCCCCACCTCGGGATGCAGAGGTGCATGGACCTCTGAATTACAGGACAGCAAGCCTACACAGAAACCAGAGGGGTTGGAGAGAAGACTGAGGGATATAGGAGACAGTAAACACTGTCCTTGCCCAGAATGGACTTGCACACCCACAAATTCTGGCACTTCTGGGAAGTCCTAGAGCAGATACCAGAGAAGGACTGTGTGCTCTCCTGCCTTATTCTCAGATATTCTAGTTCAGGTTCTTGAAGTTTCTCACGGGATTCTGTTCAAGGTATTAAAGAGTTATATTAACAAAGAGTCATATTTGTTTGCTTCAATTTTCATCTGCAAATATTTAGAGCCCACTTTGTAGCTATTCTGTGATATAATAGGATTCTGTGATTTGACTTGAATTCAAAGAGTCCCAGATTTGGAGAGACGGGTGTGGCTAGAATAGGAGTAAGGTCAGCAAGTGCATTTTGCTTTTCTAAGAGGTAGATGGGTCTCAAGAAGGCTGCTGTATTGGGGGAGGAGCCTACAGAACCTGGAATCTCCTGCCACATTTGAATCATGTCATTAGTTCTGCTTTTGGGAGAGCAAAGGTGAATGGGTTTGCAGTAAGGAAAATCTTGATTCTGTGATAGATTTACTTCCTTCTAGTGCAGTGGTCCTCAGCCTGTGAGTTTCAACAGATTTGGGGTTGAATAATGCTTTTGCAGGGGTTGCCTAAGACCATCAGAACACACAGATATTTACATAAATGATTCATAAACACCAAAATTACAATTATGAGGTAGCAACAAAAATAATTTTATGGTTGGGGGTCACCACACATGAGGAATTGTATTAAAGGATTGCAGCATTAGGAAGGTGGAAAGCCATTATTCTAGTAGCTTAATAGGCAAAAAGATTACAGAGCTAGGTCGCTTCTGTGACTCAAGATTGGTTAGGAAGTCAGTAATTTTGCTCATTTGTTTGTTCGATTGCTTTTGTTTTTTGAAACAGTATCACTATGTAGCTTTGGCTGTCCTGAAACTTGCTAAGTAGACCAGGTTGGCCTTGAACTCACAGAGATCCTCCTCCCTCCATCTCCTGAGTGCTGGAATTAAAAGGTATGCACTACTACTCCCAGCTGGATCTTGTTGAAATAAGCAGCACAGTGTTACTCTGGAGGACTGTGGGTGGGAAGCTGGCCTCTTTCTGATGGAGATGTTAGTTATATTGAGGAGAGAAGGCCAACTGGGGATGCTTAGGTTTACAGAATGACTTGTCTTAAGAATTGGTATGGACAGGTATTGATCCTCTTGGCCTCTTTTTAAAATTTTTATAAAAATTTTTATAAGAGGTGTGCACTAACCTTTCAGAGGTGCCCATCAATTGTTCCTACAGAAAATAATACAAGACAGTTTATACTTAACTTTTACTCAGCAGCACATGCCAACCAGACCTTTAACTGTTCCTGTGGCAGCCTGCGTGCCAGCGTCTTGGAACCTGGAGCCATCAATTTACACTGAAGCCCAAGTCTCCTGGAGTCCAGCCTATCTAGTGTGCAGGTAAATTTTGAAGCTAGTATCTCATTGGCCATCAAAGGACTGCTAGGATTGTCTTGGTGAACTTGTGGCTAGCCCAACCTTCCATGCTTCATATCCCAGTCATCCTTGGTCATCGTCCAGGATCCGTGTATAGAGGAGACGAGATGTGGTCTAACAAATCATATGATGAAGTACCTCAGAATGCCTCCAGTGATGAATCTGCCCTGAGGAAAACAAGAGATGATCTTTCTGCAAGCCGACAGCCTGAGTATGGGGATAAGAAAGACGACTTTAGAAGAAAATGTTCCTCCTCTTCCCATTATTCAAAACAACAGTCTCCCCATAAAGGGGCTTCTTGTTTTTCCAGAAAATCAGGTATAGATGGAAAGACCTCTCCACATAGCAGATCTGGATCCAGTGGAAGGCACTCTCCAAAACAAAGCAAACTGCATTCTTCCCATGGCTCAGAGCTTAGAAAGTCTAAGCATGCTCATTCCTCCTACAAACGGCGCAGTGAAGGAAGTAAAAAGAGGTCTGGCCACCAGTCTTTGAAAACAACAAGAGACACACACCCAAAAAGTTCTTCAGCTGTTCCTTCATCAGAAATGTTAAAAAAACTCAAAAGGTTTGATGAAAAGGGACTTCCTAAAGCTGCAAACAGTCACACTGTAGAAAAGCCAGAGATGACAGATGAAAGTGACTTACCTAAAATTTCTGAGTTTGAAGTTGGATTCCCAGTACTTATGGATCAGTCACAAAGACCTGTGTCAAACAAAAAAGATGACACAGAATTCATTGATGACCAAGTAACCAATCGCCGTAAAGCAATAGTGTCAAAAACAAAGGAAATTGAACAAGCCTACTACCAGGACTGTGAGACCTTTGGAATGGTGGTGAAAATGCTGGTTGAAAAAGACCCTTCATTAGAAAGGCCCATTCAGTTTGCCCTTAGGCAGAATTTACATGAAATAAGTGAGCGCTGTGTGACAGAGCTCCGGCAGTTCATTGCAGAGTATGATGCTACTGCTTCCTAAGAACAGCTCTAGCAGAAAGTGTTTCTTGATTGTCATTCCAGAATTGTATAAATACTTCATGTATGAAATTTTTGTGATGAAATACTTGAGTGTCTAGTAAACACCTGAAACGGCCAGCGTAAAATAATCTTCAGAAATGTTTCTACCTATGGAACCTTGTTATTCATACACTCACCAGTGATCAGTTTGTGTCTTAGCCTGCTGGGGAGGCTTACTTACTCATGTTCTGTGGTCTTCCAAGTAGATAAATATATGGCCCAAGTGTACTTTATGGTTAGTGATTGAACTTCATAGTAAATGGTAGCATGTAAAAATGTTAAGATTTGAGTTGTGATTTTTATTGACTTTTAGCTTGTTTTCTTAGGCTTTGTTGCTTTTATTAAAATTATCCTACATTAAAGTATGTTAATAAACTGGTACTTTGGTACCTTAAGAGAATAAAACATGGGAATGAACTGAATCTTCAAATGACACATGAGTTTGTAATATGAGTTGAAATTGATGTATCTGTGAGGTACTGGGGATTATGCTCAGAATTTTTTTATTCTAGACATCTGATCCACCACTGAGCTATAATCCCAGCATCAGAATGAATATTTTAAACCAACTACTATTAGGACATGTGTTACTTGGTAGCCCCTGTAAGCTTTTTGGTTTAGGGGTATTGTGGTTTTTGGGGGGATTTGTTTTGTTTTTCTTTAGCTTTCTGAGTTGTTGAACAACTACTGCTGTACCCTGTGTAGTGCCGAATAGGTCCTAGAATGTCTTCCACCGGGACAGCAGATGACAAGCTCAGCCTGATGCCTTTCTCAGCCTGCCCTTGTCTTGCCCAACACAGCTTAAGGCAATCTGTTCGGACAACAAGTCAGGGTCTAATGGAGCATGTTACCTTTCTCCTAGTGACCTCCGGCCTTCTCCTGAAAGAGTCTTTTTGGAATTGGAAAAATACAGAGTTTTAAACAGACTGGAAATGCTTTCTGTCTTATTAATAGAAGAACCAGGTTTATTGTCTACAAGAATTCAACTAACATTCTATTCTGTTTATTGACAGTTGGTTCTTACTGCCTGCTGTTCCTGACCTTTGGCTCACTTAGTGTGGGCACATTAATTTTTATTTGGTAGTCACAAGAGATGGGTGGATACTTTTTGTTTTAATGTACATTGGTGTTATGTCCATGTGAGGGTATCAGATCCCCTGGAACTGGAGTTACAGACAGTTGTGAGCTGCCTTGTGGGTGCTGGGTATTGGACCTGGGTCCTTTGGAAGAGCATCCAATAACTCTTAACCACTGAACCATCTCTCCAGCCCACCTTATTTATTTGTTTATCTTTTAAAATATGAGATACAACTTAGGTCTTCAGGCTTGTACAGCAAACACTTAGCAACTGAGTGTTTCCTCAACCTATGTTTGTTTTGTTGTTGCTGCTATTGTACTGTTATTGGAGGTATTTGGGGGTGGGGGTGGGGGTTGTGAGATAGCATCTTACTATGTAATTCTGCCTGGCCTAGAACTCTTAAAGTTGACTAGGCTAGCGTCAAATTCACCTGCCTCTGCCTTCTTGGTGCTCAAATTAAAGACATGAACCACAAGGCCTGGCAAAGACATTCTTAAACCTAGATTAAATGGTTTCTTACTTGATAAACTCAATAACATTTATTGCATTAAGTTGGTCAAGGTGGCAAGGCCTGTAATACACCACTTAGGAGGATGAGATTATCATCACTTGATGGTTAGCCTGGGCTACAGAGTAAGATCCTGTCTCAAAATAACCAGAGCTTGCTCTCTCTGCCTCCTATATAACATAGAGCAAACTACTTTAATGTTCAACATGCCCTTGCCAGGGTACTCTCCTTCACTGTTCATGGCCCAGAAGCAATGGAATCAAATGACCATAGATTGTACCTGTGTCACCTCCTCTGTCAGTTCCACCACCATCTCCTTGCCATCATGCTCCATACCCTGAAGGCACAGCCACGGGATGAAGTAAACACCAACTAGTATGGCCTCAGAACAAAAGGGGGCGCCTCTGAAACAACAAACAGTGGACAAAGCCTCCAATGCTTGCGGAGAGGGAGCTTTAGTCATGGGCATACATATGTCTAAAGCAAACACTCATTGAAGTACTGAGAAAAGCTCCAGATTGTATTTCGGGAGGGTAGAGACAGGCTTAAGTGATCTCAATATATTAAGCAAGGCTAGACATGAAAGGGCAGCAATCCTCTTGTTGTTGCAGCCTCCCAGGACTAGTGTTACAGATGTGAACCACCGTACTCCAGTTTTCAGGAGCCTGCCGAATAGCTTAGTTGGTAAAATTGCTTGCCAAAACAGGGTTTCTCTGTGTAGCCCTGGCTCTCATGAACCTTGCTCTGTAGACCAGACTGGTTCCCTACTCAAGGAGATCCACCTGCCTCTGCCTCTTGAGTGCTGGAATTAAAGATGTTTGCTACCACCACCTGACTGATAATAATTGTTGTAAAGTAGGTCCAGTTTTCAAAAGGTATTGGGTGAGGCTAGTGGAAGAGACAAGCTCCTGATCTGGAGATAAAATGAGAGCTCTGCTAATGACCACAAATAAAGTAAGAAGGGGAGATGGATGGACAGTTAGAGAGAGATTGTTAATCCCACCAGGGAAGAATAGGACCACTTCCACAATTTTGAGCCCAGTTTGAAGCAAGCTTTAATTTAATCCTGGCTAGGCTTATGAACTCTGGCCAAATCCATTCCAGTGTTCCCAGAAAATGGTGATGAGTCATGTTTTGCAGAGACTATAAAGGCAAACCCATAAGGCTGCATATTTCCCACCAGGTCCAATAAAGGACAAGCATACATCTTGATGTACTTCCTGCCTGTGCACCTACACCTACATGTGACCAAGCAAATCCAGTACAGTTAGATCAGACAAACTTGTTTAGGGGAGTGAAAACATATGGATTTTTGTCTTACATAAACAATAACCTCCAGCATTTCAAGAAGTATTTGTCCTTGGACAAGTGGGTTTACAAAGGTTAGAAACATTTTTACTCTATGGCTCTCTTAGGCACAATAATTAAAACATAACTTTAGCTCTCAAAATATTGCCAATTGGTAAGTGGTAGTGACTTTGCTATATGAGCAACTGACAAAGCCAACAGATAATAGTGCTACTGGTGATTAGTAGCCCTCCAACTAACTATGTCGGTGAGGACCAGACCAAACAACGTACAAAGAATGGACACATTCATTTATCTCAGGTTCTTCCATAACAAAGCATCGTTGGGGACATTGTGTGCATCCTAGCATCCTTTCTCTTTCACAGATTTTCAGATAACTACTTCATCAGTTAACTATGGCTTGAAGGGTGGGGGGGTCATATTGAGATAGACATGGTGCTGCATACCTCTAATAGCAGCACCAGAACTGGTAAATTCAATCCTAGTGGGTTACAGTATGAGACCTGTCACAACATTTAAAATACATATATAGAGAGAGTTTATAGATATCTTGGAAGGGCCCAAGTTATCAGAGGCTACTCTTTTAAACTTTTTTGTGGTCCCTGTCCCTCAGATTATTCTGAGTGTTTTCACACACAAGCAGGTTTCTGTAGCCTCCCACCCTAAAGCAAAATGGAAATTGTATCTAGAAAAATGTGTGAAAGACCTAAGCTACCACTTTCTGAGCCTGATAGCAAACCAAGATGGAAAAATTTATAAGAACTTCAACAGTTGACTATTCCAAAGCTAGTTAGCCTAAAAACAACTTTGAACATAGTTTCAACTCTCAAGGGATCCCATTAAGGGCAAAAGCTGAGAACTCCTGGGGACTAACAGCATTAAAATGGAGGAGGGAGGGGCTCCTTCTAGGGCTGGAGAGATGGCTCAGTGGTTAAGAGCACTGACTGCTGTTCCAGAGGTCCTGAGTTCAATTCCCAGCAACCACATGGTGGCTCACAACCATCTGTAATGGGATCTGATGCCCTCTTCTGGTGTGTCTGAAGACAGCTACAGTATACTCACATGCATAAAATAAGTAAATCTTTAAAAAAAGAAGAAGAAGAAAGGAAGGAAGGAAAGGTTGGAGAAGAAAGCCAGCCTGCTGCAGACTAGATGTTGCTTTGGCAGGTTGGTGAACACTGACAAAAGCTAATGAACAACAGGAAACGGTTGCTGCTTGGCCATAATGCTTTATCATTGTTAGGGGCTCTTCTGGCCCATTCTAACCTCAAGTCTCAACTTCTGGACGCTCAGTGTGCAAACAGCAAGAGGAATTTTATTCCGACCTGACAGGGTCTTTTCACTCTCTCGAGGAAGGACCCCCTGATTTTTAAAGCACACACTTTTTATATTCTAGCATAGGCAAACTTTAGCAACAGCAAATCTTGTCTAAAGCTCATTGGACACTCGACTTAGCCTTTAAACTTATTGGCCGTGCTCACTCAGGCGGTTATTTCTGGTGGGCTATATTTATCTAGGGCTGGAGAGGACACAGCTGGTTACTAGTCAGTACATTCTGCGTTTTTTTCTCAGAATTGTTTTTTTTTTTTTTAACTTTTTCTCTGTTATCAAGAACAGCATGACCAGTGGGATGGTTGTATCTTTAATGCGCCCTTTCTGTTCCCTTGGTTGTTATAGCGGGTCATTCAGGGTCTCACACCACCTCCCAAAGTAAAAGTATAATTCTTGAAGAGACCTTGATCCTGGTGGATACTAACCTTTAATCTTGTTTGGTGGTGATCCTTCCTAAGAACCTAACAGAAACCACAGGCTGCCATGCGGCAAGTGCCCGTTGTGTGCATATAGGCAGGGCATGGAGATCAGACCGGGCTTGCCTCTTTAGGCTCCAGGACCCTACTGTTCATTTGGGAACGGTGGCTTTTTGGAATGACTCTGTTCCTGTGCAGACTTGTGGAGTTTTGTTGCTGTCTTTACTCCTGGGGGCCAGCCGCTTATAGCTCTCGCACACGCAGATATATATATTCCCATTAGTTTTGAACTGGGTAATTACTGTGTAGTATCCTATGAACAGGAGCACACTGGAAGTGTGAGTGGAAAGATTTCCCTAAGCCCAGCCTTGCCCATTTCCCCCTCAAGTCTTCAGGGCCTCTGATGTGAAAGAAAGACAAGTGAGAAGGTAGGCAACCTGCCTTCTAAGTAGACTTCATTAAGAGGTAGCTCTCAGACAGCAATTCCTGGCCCCCAACTGGCCACATAACTGTAAACATCCTCAGGTGCAGGGGCTCTAAAAGGCCTTTCACCGGGCAGCAGAATGTATATACCAAAGCCAAAGCACCAGAGCTTGTAACTTGAGTGTCACAACTAGATTTTGTCGCTTGTCTAAAAGCACTACTTTCTTACCCATAGAAGTAACTCCAGTTCATACAGATAGGAGAACAGCAAAGAGCCTGAACTGAGGGTCACATTGTACCCTTTCTGGTGGTTTCCAGGACTGGTTGTCTGTGGCAAGGTCATACTAACGTGACCTAGGTTTTTGTGTTTTCAGGTGTGGTTTCTGATGGTAAAGATTTGATGTTGTTTTTCAAAACGGTGTTTCTCTATACAACAGCCCTGGCTGTCATGGACATAGCTCTGTAGACAAGGTGGCCTCAAAATCACAGAGCTACGCTTGCCTCTCCCTCTCCAGGTGCTGGGGTCAAAGATGTACATCACCACACCCAGTGAAGATTTCTTTTTGTAGACCTGGCCAGCCTGGAACTCATGTCACATGGCTGGTCTTGAATATACAGAAATCTCCCTGCCTTTGTTATTTATTTATTTTTTTTAGAATTATTTATTTATTTTATGTATGTGAGTACACTGTAGCTGTCTTAAGAAACACCAGCAGAGGGCATCAGATCTCATTACAGATGGTTGTGAGCCACCATGTGGTTACTGGGAGTTGAACTCAGGACCTCTGCAAGAGCAGCCAGTGTTCTTAACCTCTGAGTCATCTCTCCAGTCCTAGAAGGAGTTTTACAAGACGGTTACTGAGTCCAGCTTTACATAATATGATTTATCAAATACATCTTTAATATCATGTGGCTGTTTTTTTTTTCTCTCAGTTCAAGTAGGCAGACCAGTTGTTTTGTTTTTGTTTTTTGAGATGGTTTCTCTTTGTGGCCTTGGCTGTCCTAATACTTGGTCTGTAGACCAGACTGGCCTTGAACTCACAGAAATCCTCCAGACTCGGTCTCCTGAATGCTTAAATTATTAAAGGCATGCACCACCACCTTCCGATGGCCAGTCAGTTTTTATTTTTTGTTACGTTTATTGTGTGAAGGAAAGGAGAGCCTGTGGCACAGATCATGAATGGGGTCAGAGACCAATGTGGTGGAATTGTTTCTCTCCCAGGGATCAAACTCAGGTTGCCAAGCTTGGCAGCAGTCACCTTTAGCCACTGCCGTCTTGCTGATGCAGCAAGCTAGCAGGCTGTTTCTTTAGAAATTAATCTCAGTATACATTAATTTCTCTGCAAATGGCTCTGAAGTCTGCGTTTAACCTCATTCTCACTGCCAGTCACAGTCTCACATCTCCAGCTGCTTACTGCATACAAATCCTTTTGGAAGTCTTGTCATCACTCCAAAGGGGCAACTTTTCTAAACTTTAGATGTGTGTGTGTGTGTGTGTGTGTGTGTCTGTCTGTCTGTCTGTGTGTGACACACACACACATATTTTCAGTCCATTATCATCATGACGGGGAACATGGTGGCATGCTGGCACTGTTGCAGTAGTTAAGAGCTACATCCTGACCCCTGGGCAGAGAGAGAGCCTGGATCTGGCATGGGCTTTTAAAATGTCAAAGCCAACCCTCAGTGATACACCTCCAATAAGGCCACACTTCCCAATTACTCTAGTCCTTTGAAATAGTTCCACTCTCTGGCATCAAATATATGCCAGAGTCTTATGCGAGTCTTTTTTGTCTGTTTTGTCATATCATCTCCCTCCTCTCCTGCCCCCCACCCCCCACACAGACAGGGCTTCTCTTTGTAGCCCTGGTCCTCCTCCACCAGGCTGGCCTCAAACTCAAGAGATTTACCTACCTCTGCCTCTCAAGTGCTGGGATTAAAGCTGTCCCACAAAGCACAGGAGCATGGTACCATGCTTACTCAATCCACCACAGGCACCTTTTTGGGTTCAGATATGTGTGATATGGGGATGTGTGCCTTCCATCCCCACAGTATGCATTGCTTATAAAGGAGAAGTCAGTGTTGAATGTCTTCCTGAATGCTCCCCAACTTTTTCCTCCCTGAGACAGGGACAGGATCTCACTGTTTAGCTGTATAGCCATGTCTGGCCAAGAACTCACAGATACCCAGCTGCCTCTGTTTCACACATGCTGGAATTAAAAGTGTCCACTTAATTTTTTGACACAGAGGTATGTTTAGAAATCAGTTCAGGCCGGGCGGTGGTGGCGGCACATGCCTTTAATCCCAGCACTTGGGAGGCAGAGGCAGGTGGATTTCTGAGTTCGAGGCCAGCCTGGTCTACAGAGTGAGTTCCAGGACAGCCAGGGCTACACAGAGAAACCCTGTCTTGATAAAAACCAAAAAAAAAAAAAAAAGAAAAAGAAAGAAAGAAAGAAAGAAAGAAAGAAAGAAAGAGAGAGAGAAAGAAAGAAATCAGTTCAGCTAGACTGATTGCCCAGTGAACTCCATGGATCCTCCTGCCTTTGGTTCCTTGGTAATGGGATTACAAGCCCACACCACCCTTGCCTGAATTTCCGTCGGTGCTGAGGCTCCAAACTCAGGCATCCATGCTTACCTGGCAAGAACTGTCTCCCCTTCCCTTAATTTGTATTTATTTTCTTAACATTATGTATTTTCTTCTTGGTCCCAGGTCCCACAGCACTAATCTGTAGCCCTTGTATTTTGTATTCCGCCTTCTTAGAACCAGGCATTAATACCCTGCATGGTGGTTTGAATGGTAAATGTCTCCCAGAGACTAGGGCAATTGTTCCTAGTTACTAGAGAGAGCTGTTTGGGTAGTGTGATGGTTTGTATATGCTAAACCCAGGGAGTGGCACTATTAGAAGGTGTGGCCCTGTTGGAGTAGGTGTGGCCTTGTTGGAGTAGGTGTGTCACTGTGGGTGTGGACTTTAAGACCCTCATCCTAGCTGTCTGGAAGCCAGTATTTTGCTAGCAGCCTTCAGATGAAGATATAGAACTCTCAGCTCCTCCTGCACCATGCCTGTCTGGATGCTGCCATGTTCCTGCCTTGATAATGCACTGAACCTGTAAGCCAGCCCCAATTAAATGTTGTCCTTAGAATAATTGCCTTGGTCATGTTTGTTCACAGCAGTAAAACCCTAACTAAAACAGGCAGGTTTAAGAGGTGTGGCTTTGCTAGAGAAAGTGTATTACCTTGGGGGTGGACTTTGAGAATTTAAAAATTGCATCATTTCTACTTAGCTGTTTTGTGCGTGTGTTAAATTTGCAAGGTGTGAGCTTGCAGCGTCCTCACGCAGCCATGCCTTCTGTGTTGACGTGCTTTCCTACTTGATGGACTCTTGCCCCTCTGGAAGCATAAGCCAAAAACCCTTTCCTTCTGCAAGTTATCTTTGTGATGGTGTTATCTAACACAGTAACAGAGCAGTAAATAAGACATCTTTGTGACCTGTTTATAATTATTCTCAGTCCAGCCCATCCCCATTCACAGAGAGATTTGTCATGTAGAACTCAGCTTCACTGACCTCATTGCACCTGAAACTTTTTTTTTTAAAGATTTATTTATTTATTTTATTTATGAGTACACTGTAGCTGTCTTCAGACACACCAGAAGAGGGCATCGAATCTCATTACGGATGGTTGTGAGCCACCATGTGGTTGCTGGGATTTGAACTCAGGACCTCTGGAAGAGCAGTCAGTGCTCTTAACCGCTGAGCCATCTCTCCAGCCCCGCACCTGAAACTTTTATGTGCTCTCATCAGCCGTCTGCCACCTCGTTAACCTGACGTAGGAGACACCATATCAGATCACAGCCTTGTTACTTGCTGGTTTTGATGAAAATACAAAACAGTGCCTGAGACAGGCCTAGCTTTCACTTAGATGGCCTGTATCCTTCTCCTGGTTCTGAGTTCAGATGTGATATTCATTTATTTATCTTAGGACCTGGCCCAGCACCTAGCTTGTAAGAGATAATTAATGAGTAATGGTGTCCTGGGCTGAGGATGTAGCTCAGTGCTAGAATACCTGCCTAGTATGGACAAGGCAGTGCAAAACCAAAACAAAAATACTTATGATGTACTTACCATATACTAGGTTTTGTACTAGGCACCACACTGGTATTCACATACTGATTTTGCAACATCACATGGGAGTAGACACTAGCTCTAAGCTTGTCACACTGAGGAAGCTGATCTGCACACTGGGGCTTGTGTTCATTTTTGTTGTTGTTTTGTTTTATTTACATGTTCTATTTTTTTGGAGTAAAAATTTTGCTATGTAGCCCTGTCTAGCCTGGCACTATGTTTCCTAGGCTATGTTAATCCTGCTGGGCAAGAATAAGACCACTACAATTTTTGAGCCAAAATTGAAGCAAGCTTTATTAAATACTGGCCAGGATGATGGACACTAGCCATGTCCATACCCGGGATTTCCACAGAATGGCTGTATATTACACTTTAGTCCCTGTACTTATAAAAGCAAATCCTACAAGGCCACATACTTCTTGCATTTGCCCAATCGAGGCAAGCATATATCCTGATGTGCTTCCTGCCTCTGTTCCTCCTGACTATGTGTGATCAAGCATGTCCTGTGCAGTTAGGGTAACCAACCTTGTTTACAGGAGTGAAAACACTTGGCTTGTTATCTTACTTGAAGAACAGCCCTCAGCATTCTAGGACGTTACCTATCCAGGCAAGTGGAGCTTACAGGTTAAAGGCATTTTTTTATAGCTCTCTTAATAATTTAAACTTAAAACATAACTTTAGCCCTCATAGCTGGTCTCATGCTGGAGGTAGTTCGTGTGCCTCAGTCTCCTTGTTGCTGGAACTACAGGTATAAGCTACCATAGTGTAGCTTTTATTGTTTTGACATGATCTTCATATGCTCTTGGGCTAGTTTCAAATTAAACTCCTGTGATCCTTCTCAACTCTTGAACAAGTATACACAGTCGATAACATGGTGTCTTCAAGTATCATGCCTAAGCTCTTGTCTATGTGGCCAGTGTGGGTAGTAATGACAAGACTGAGGAACTTACCACACCACCGGAAATATGTGCCCTTTGCCCCAACCTTTTGTGGGTGTGGGGTGCTGTTTTGTATTTTATCATTTTGAGATACAGCTCAGTTGGTAAGAGTTCTGTCTAGCATGTATGAAGCCCTAGGTTCAATTCACAGCTTCACAGAAACAAGGTATGTTAGCACACACCTCTGTTCTTGGCTTCTAGGAGCTTGAAGCAGGAGGATCCAGAGTTTGAGGCCAGCCTGGACTATATGACCCCCACACACACACACACCCCTTAAAAAAGAAAAAGAGAGAAAAAACTTGAGTAGAATGACAGTCATCTTACACAGCTGCTATTCATCCTGTTTTGTTGCTCTCCCCCCACTTCCACAGACTTTATGATGCACTATAGCAGTGTCCCGAGTCTGAAAGTGTCTACATATGTGGATCCCGGAATTTGCTGAGAGATGGAGGAGCCTCAGAACAATGACCCGAGCATAAGAGAGCTGGAAGAAGATCATCCTGTCAGAAGCAGTGGCCCTCAGATTTCTGTGAGCGAGTTCTCCTGCCACTGCTGTTACGACACCCTAGTTAACCCCACCACCCTGAACTGTGGCCACAGCTTCTGCCGACACTGCCTAGCATTATGGTGGATGTCTTCAAAGAAGACAGAGTGTCCAGAATGCAGAGAAAAATGGGAAGGTTTTCCCAAAGTCAACATTCTCCTCAGGTAACACTGAGTCCTATTGACAGCATGGATGTACAGTGTGGTTTCTCTGTGGGAACTGCTGTTTATAAAGAAGCAGACTTAAGGCAGATCATTCTAAGAGCTTGGAACCAAAAAAACAGATTCCTTTCTTACAAGTAGTTGTGATCTGTCCGTCTGTTTTATTTATTTTTGAGGTGAGGTCTCACTACACCGTGTCTGGGTGGCATGGACCTGCTGTGTAGATTAGGCTGCCCTTGAATTCACAGACCGATCTGCCTGTCTCCAGAGTTCCACTCCCATTATCTTTCCTACTGTCCCCTGAACCCACTTGGTTTTTTAGTATTTTAAGACTGACTCTCACTCTTGCCTCAGCCTCCTGAATGCTGAGATTATAGGCACAGGCCGACATGCCTAGCTGCTTGTTCTGTTCCATGGGAAGACGCAGAAATACATTTCTGGTTATGACCATTGCTTGTCATCCCCTATTCTAGAACACTTGTTTCTGATTTATACTTATGAAGAAAATGATACAACTATACACCTAGAGGTAACTACTGTTAATGTTCATAATCTGAAGTAGAACTTACGACTGTCATGACCTGGTAGAGTTTCTTTCACAACCAGCCACAGCCCCTTTCTGATTGTTGGTTCTTCTGTGCGTCCATGCAGGAGGGCTTTTCCAGGTTTTGTTTGATTTGGTTTTGGTTTCTTTTTATTTGTCTGTATGATTTTTTTACCTGCATGTATGTATGTGCATCTATCTTATTTGTGCCTGCTGCCTGAAGAAGGTATTGGGTGCCCTGGAACTGGAGTTCAGGTTGTGAGCCATTGTGTGGGCTCCAGGAATCAAACTTGGGTCCTCTGCAAGAGCAGCAACACTCTTAACACAGAATCTCTTCAGCTCCTCCTAGTTTTTGTTTGTTGGTGTGTGTGTGTGTGTGTGTGTGTGTGTGTGTGTGTGTGTGTGTGTAGGGGTTGGTTTGTTCCTTCAATTGTTCTTTGAGATAGTGTCTCACTATATAGCTTAGAGTTCACAGAGATCTGCCTGCCTCTGATGAGATTAAACTCATGTGCTACCACACCCAGTGCCTTTAAAGCTCTTCATTCTTTTTCTTCTTGTTGCCTTTCCAAAGTGCCTAACCTCTCTCAGATCACTAGAATACCCAAAGGGTCCGTGAACCCTTTAACCCAGCCTCGCTCATAATTATCCACTCTACTTTACCCAAAGACCCCTACGAGGCCAGCAAGATGGCTCTGTAGGTTAACATACTACCAAACCTGGCAACCAAAGTATCATCTGCTCCTTCCACGGGGTGGAAAGTTGTCCTCCAACTTCCAGCATGTTCCATGGAGAAAAAAAAGGTTTCCCCAAAGTCAACACATTCATAAACACATACACTCAAAAAAGTAATGTAATAGAAATATTTTTAAAACTAGTCCCAGACCTTCCCCCCGAACCCCCCTTAGCTTGGTTCTCAGAGCTCATACACCAGACCAGCCTGGTCTACAGAGTGAGTTCCAGGACAGTCAGGGCTACACAGAAAAACCCTGTCTTGGGGGAACAAATAAAAATAAAGAAAAAAAGAAAAGAAAAAAGCTTCTTTTGTAGCGGGAAGTATAATGAAAAAGCGGTTTAGGGAGCTCAGCTCCTGGCTGCCTCCAAGCACAGCCAGCTAGCTCTGGCCCTGGACCCACAAGATGTTAGCATGGCGGCTGCCTCTGCTGATCAGCTTCGTGGAGTCCATGTCCGAAAACCCAGGGAATAACTACCACCCCCATGCAGTAAATAGAAGAATTCTAGTACCCAGTAGAAATGAGACTTTTTAAGCTTAATGATTATCCAATGGATTTATATATCAGCAAATACTTAATACACAAGATGCCCACACAATCAGAATTGTAGACCCAATATCTAACCTTTTCATATGAATAGCTACCCGAGACTGCTAGAGACAGGAACATTGGCTTCCATCTTGCTTCTCTTCTCTCTCCTCCTTTCTCTATCCTCTTTCTTCCTCCCAACTCCTGGTTCTGCCTACCTCTTCTACTGCCCAATCACTGAGCTCCACTGCAAATGGCAGGAAAATTCCTGCAACATTCTTTTTTTTTTTTTTAATTTTATATATATGAATACACCATTGCTCTCTTCAGACACACCAGAAGAGGGCATCAGACCCCATTACAGATGGTTGTGAGCCACCATGTGGTTGCTGGGAATTGAACTCAGGTCCTCTAGAAGAGCAGTTGGTGCTTTTAACCACTGAGCCATCTCTCCAGCCCGCAACATTCTTTTTGTAGCAAACAGATGCTACTCCAGGGGTCCAAAACTGGTGAACTTATGCAGAGGGTAACTGACTGTGGGCACTTAGCCCCAGTTGATTATAACCTAACCCTGGACCTAAGGCTCAAGATCCTAAGACCAGAGATGAGAGACCAGGATGCTTGATATGAGGTGTTTTCAAGACACAGCAAGGAAGCTGCAACCATGAAATCTGAAAAATGTCTGCGTCAATAAGACCTGAATAAGCACACGACCGCCCGCCACCAGTTGACAGTTGACATGGCAACTTTAAAGTCCTACCCCTAAATCAAGAACTACAGGCAATCAGTGGCTGCTGAGAGAGGGCGATTCAGTGCTCTCAAGGGCAAGCTCATCCAAGTGCTCAGCACTGGACATGGAGACTTGAGCTCCACTAAACGGACTCAGTGGGTTTTATATAAAACACTAATAAAGAAGTCATTAACTTTACAGGGAATAATTGGAGGAGAGGAATAGTGGAAATGATGTCAATTACCAGTATTCTTTTGTGAAATTTTAATCCCAGCACTTGAGAGGCAGAGGCAGGCAGATTTCTGAGTTCAAGGCCAGCCTGGTCTACAGAGTGAGTTCCAGGACAGCCCGGGCTATACAGAGAAACCCTGTCTCGGAAAACCAAAAAAAAAAAAAAAAAAAAAAGAGTCAAAATTAGTAATCAAGCTAACAATCTCTTCTTGCCTACCTTAGAATCTTGCCTTTTTCTGCAGAGTAATTTCAATTATGACTTAGTTGTGATTTCATTCATATTTCTTAAAACCTTTGAAGAGGTCTGGAGAGAGAACTCAGGAGCTAAGCACACCTCCTACAGAGGATCTGGGTTCAATTCCCAGCACCTACATGGCAGCTCACAGATGCCTGTAACTCTAGCTCCAGGAGTGGTACCCATACATACACTCAGTCACATGCTCACTCTGGAAATAAGTCACCCATGCACATACTCAGGCACACACCCACACATGAAGTAAGTAAATCTGTAGCACAAAAGGATGCTTTTGAAGCAGGCCATGCTGGTGCAGGAAGAGGATTCAGGAGCTCAGAAGTCAGTCATCCTCAGCTATATGACGAATTCAAGACTAGCCTGGGCTACATGTGACCTTCTTTCAAAAAATAAAAAGAAATACTTTTCAATATATGTGCCGACAGAAAAATGCTAATATTTTCTCACATCACTGGTATATTATCAGTCCGCATTGAAAATCACTGTTGTCATCCAGTTATCTAACCTGACACTGAGTAGGCCAGTCGGTACATTTATAAAAATATGCGGTACTCTACTCTAAGATTTCAGTATTCTAGGCTCAGTAGGTCATAGTACTTACCACTCAAGCATGATGACCAGGGTTTGATGATAAGAGGGGAGAACAGACTCCTGAAAATTGTCATCTGATCACCACATGTGCGTGACCACTCTCACACATTGGACACAAAAGTGAACGTAATCATTGTAAGTAATTTTATTGAGTCAGTCTCACTGTGTCACCCAGGCTACCTGGAACTGTCTGTAGATCAGGCTATCCTGGAACTCACAGAGTTCTGCTCTTAGAGTGCTAGGCTTAAAGGCATGCATACCACACCTGGCAGTGTCAATGGTTGGATGGTAAAACACTTGACTGCCACGTATGAGGCCTTAGGTTTAGTCCCCAGTACTTTCTGGGAAAAAGACTTGGATCTACATATTTCATCTGTCTGTCTCCTTAATGGTGGCGCATAGACTGTTGTTAAGCTTTTGCTCTAGTCATAAAGCAGAGCTCTTTGTTGCTCTTCTGGGCACCTCTGGGTTATGAAATGTTTGTACTGGTGGGTGTAGTCCTGAGTGCTGTATCTTGACAAACCCCTGTCCTGTGATTTCTCTCTTCTCCACAGGGATGCCATTGAAAAGTTATTTCCTGATGCAATTAGAATGCGAGTTGAAGACATTCAGCAGAATAATGATGTGGTCCAAAGTCTTGCAGCCTTTCAGAGATACGGAAATGATCAGAGTCCTTTAGCTCCCAGCACAGGGCGAGTGAATCAGCAGAGAGGAGGGGGATTCTTCTCTGGCGTACTCACAGCTTTAACTGGTGTGGCAGTAAGTTTGGCTGTTTAATCTGCACTCTGCACCAACCCCCAGTTGCTTCTGAAGTCAGTTCTTCTGACATCACTTAAAACAGTTGACAGTGTGACCATGTCTAACTCATTGTAGCCATTAGAATCGTGTTGCCTGTTGATAACAGAGACCATATAGTAATTGTTGCCTGGGTACGTGTTAGCTCTGTTCCTATTCAACCCTCTTCCTGACCTGTCCAGTGGCATCATGATGACCCCCATTTTAGAGCTCAGGAAAGGGGCAGAACAAGACTGAGAAGCCATATCTGCACTGTTGCAGGGCTCTTTAAGAGCCAGTCTGCCAGTGCAAAGACTGCTTCAGTCCAGTCTTCTGAAAATCTTAATGTTTTCCCTTAGAAAAGGCAAATGAGTTGGTGAGGTCAGGGACACAATTGCTCCTAGACTGTCTGCCATGTACCCTTTCCAGATGTTTTCACAGCCATGAGCAGAAATGAGCCTGGCGACATCGTGTCCTAACTTCTCTATGACACAGGTTGCCTTCTTTCTTGAGTAGACTTGGTGTCATTTCTCAGACTCACCCCCTTCCTTGCCTGGCCCCATCCTCACATCCTTAGAAGCTGACCTTTTCCCTCTGACCTCCTGTCTCCTTCCAGGTCATTGTGCTTGTGTATCACTGGCGCAGCAGAGAACCTGAGCATGGCCTCCTGGTGCATAAGGCTGTAGACAAATGGACAACGGAAGAAGTTGTCCTCTGGTTAGAACAGCTAGGCCCTTGGGCCTCCCTGTACAGAGACAGGTTCTTATCTGAAAGAGTAAATGGAAGGTGAGTCTAAAACAACATAGCATACCAGGGTAGGCATGGTGGTGCAGGCCCTTAATCTTAGAGGTAGGTATATCTCTTGTGAGTTTGAGGCCAGCCTGGCAAGTTCCAGGCCACAGGGTGACATAAAGAAATCATGTCCACACCAGACATATTTGTAGATGCTTTATTGAGATACATTCTACCTGCCACAAAATTCTTCCTATAAGGAAGTGAATAAACATGGGTTTGTAATGTCTTCACAACTATGTACAACCATTTCCAGCCATTTCCTGACTCCCAAAAGAAAACTCTTTTCCTTCCTGGTCCACCCTCACTCCTTCCCCCTCAGCGGATTTTATTATCTTTATCCAAAAGTGGATTGGCCTGTGGTTATTGCATATTATGTACTCATACAGCATGGAGCCCTTGTGTGCAGCTCTTCCACTCAGTCTGATTTCAAGGCTCACACATGTTGTAGTATCATCCGTGCTTTAGTTTGTCTCTGAAAACCTCCCTTGTATAGGTAGACCAGACTGTCAGTTCTTCACTTGATGGGCATCTGAGTTTATTTCATTTATAGCTGTTTTGAAGAGTGCTGCTAAAATCATTCCTGCACAAGATTTTGTGCAGATATGTATTCTGGGAACTCTCTTGGAGGGGAATGGCCACATTCCAGGATCTCTCTGTTTACTTTTCATTTATTTTTAAAGACTAGCTGGGCAACAGGAGTGCACACCTTTAATCCCAGCATTCAGAAGGCAGAGGCAGACAGATCTGAGTTCAAGGACAGCTGCTCTACACTGAGATCCAGGACAACACAATAAAACAAAAAACAAAACAGCCGGGCGGTGGTGGCGCACGCCTTTAATCCTAGCGCTTGGGAGGCAGAGGCAGGTGGATTTCTGAGTTCAAGGCCACCCTGGTCTACAGAGTGAGTTCCAGGACAGCCAGGGCTACACAGAGGAACCCTGTCTCAAAAAACCAAAAAAGAAAAAAAAATGATGTAGGACAATGTCTTTATGTTGCTACTCTTCACAAATTATTGCTGTTAGTATTGTAATAGACATAACTGAACATGGTGGACATGGTGGTACACAGCTACCCCAGCACTTGGAAGGTGGAGGTAGGAGGGTCAGAGTTCAAGGTCAACCTGAACTATATGGGTTATACATCATGCCCTGTCTCCAAAAAAAAAATCTTATTACACATCTTTCTAAATCTGAAGATGTTTTCTTGGCAGGTTGCTATGCTGGGGATTACATAGATGCTCTCTCTACTGTTGAAACCTCCGCCCCCCAGCTCTAGTGTTTTCCTGTTTACTTTATATAGTTATATAAGTATGGTGTTGGGCTTTTGGGCTTTTTTTAATTTTGTGTTGTTTCATTGGTTTGTTTGTTTGTTTGTTTGTTTGTTTAAGACAGTCTTAGCAGAGTGTGTATCCCAGTCTGATCTTGAGTGTTCAGTTTGCCCATGTGCTATAATTATAGGAATGAACTCAGCTTTTTAAATTCTCTACTACTCCATCATACATGGATGTTTTTAACAGTGAGTTGTTGTAGAAATAGATTGTTGGGTGTTTATTTGTTTTGTGTTTTCATTCCACTTTGTTTTCTGTTTTCTTTCTTGCTTTTATAGATAATGATTTTTAAAATTGTATTTATTTTTATATGTATGTGTGTATGAATTGCCTCCAATTTTTGTCTCTACATTATGATCATGCCTGGAGCATGTAGAGCTGAGAAGAGAGCCTTCGGATTTCCTGGACCTGGGGTTACAGACCGATGTAGCTACCTTATCAGTTTGAGAATTGAACCCAAGTCTTCTGGAAGAGTGCTCTCTTAATTGCTGAGCCATCTCCAGCCCCTAAAATAAATAAGGGGTTTATAATTCTTATTAAATTGAATCAGTATCTCAATATAACCAATGTTTTTGTCTTTTTTGAAATTGAGATCTTGCTAGGTTGCCCAGGCTGACCTGAGTCTTAGCAGTCTTCTGCCTCAGCCGTCCAAGTCACTAGTATTTCAGACGTGCGGTATTGAACCCAGCTAAAGCCACCACGTTTAATGTAATTGAGTTTGGTTGGATTTCCTTCTGGTTTTCTCCTACACACACCCTCTTAGAAATAAAACAATATGACAGTAGGAATCTGTAATGAATTGGAGGCTTAAGAACAAACATCCTGATGTGCCTAAAGCACTGTATTTCTGAAGCCAGATTTTGATCCACAAAATGGACATGAAGCAGAGTTAAATAATGACAGTAGTTTGTGAAAATACTTTCAACTGGAGATGGGCCGGTAGTAAGCAAACTGCTCTGGGCAGTCATCATCAGCACGGCTGTCTGCATTTAGTGTTCAGCCTCACCAAGCAAGTCTACACAACTGTGCAGTAAGGCAAAACTCAGTGTGTAAGAACTCACTGTCTGCCTCCCGTGGGTAATCTCAGACGTCATTTCCACCCCTCACCCCTTTAGGTTGCTTTTAACTTTGACAGAAGAAGAATTTTCTGGGGCACCTTACAGCATAGAAAACAGTAGCCACAGAAGAGCCCTCCTCATGGAGCTTGAGCATGTGAGAGCCCTGGGTGTGAAGCCACCACAGAACCTCTGGGAATACAAGGTAAACACGTGGGGTTTTGTTTTGATGGGGGAGAGGAGTGGTAGGAAACAACTAGCAGTCACCTTCCTGCTCACTGTGTAACTTAAGAAAACCTTGCAGACATTGAAACTACAAGCACTGCTAGTCTCCAAAGGCACCACGTTCCCACAGTGGCTTCTTCACAAGCCTCTCAGGTCTCTCTGTCCATAACCTATGAGAGCTATCCTGTCTGTGAGTACTGCATAACCCGGGAGGTCCCTGTCCATAATCTATGGGAGGTATCCACTAGATACATTGTTTTACAGGGAAGAGGTAAGAACCACCGACACTCTTCTGCAAATAGCTGTTTTTCCCTGGGGTTCTAGATCATTCTTTATCTCTTTGATGAATCCTTCACTGGATATGTGTGACAATTTATGGGTTTTCCTGTTGATAGACAGTCGCAACTTTTCTGTTCTCACTGTTACAGGATATTTGATTGTCCTACATAGAGAACCTAATTATTAGCAAAATATAAAAGCTTACATAGATGCTGTGTTTTTCAGATGTAGTTAGGTGTGTTAGAGTTTTGGTGTGCCTTTAAAAGCCCCCATAGGGGTGGGAAGCCGGCCTTAGCCAACTTGTACTACAAGTTTAGCAGTTTCACGCAGAAGTTGGCTGGGGCTTGGGCTTCGGAAGCCTATACTCCACAGAAGCTGAAGCTGATCATTGCCCAGAGTATTGTGAGAGCCCTTGGTGGAACACGAAGCCGAAAAACCTTCACTAGGCTAGGGTTAAAGCCGGTTTCCATGGAAGCACCGCCTATCATATTTGCCACACCGACCAAACTGACCTCCAGTGTGACAGCATATGATTATGCTGGAAAGAACAAAGTTCCAGAGCTGCAGAAGTTCTTGCAGAAGGCTGACGGTGTGCCCTTCCACCTGAAACGAGGCCTTCCCGACCAAATGCTTTACCAGACCACCATGGTCTGACAGTGGGAGGGGCCATCTACTGCCTGATCGCCCTCTACATGGCTTCGCAGCCCAAAAGCAAATGAATTTGCCTGTGGAGGACTGATTCACTTTGTGGCACAAACCCTTTGAATTCTCATGTTTCATGTTTTTCCACTTGGATAGTCTACTTAACATTTTGCAAACAAAGGAAAAGATAAGAATACCCTGATTTGGTTTGTTTATGGCGTGCAGATGGCCTGTCAGATGTCAGAGCTTGTTTGGCAGTTAAAACTGTTGTTTAAGGAGATGACACTGAGTCATCACTGAGCTGTGCTTCTGCTCCTGATCTCCCTGGAGATTCTGGATGAAAGCTGCTCATGGCCAGCAGTGCTCAGGGCCTCCGGGACCCAGCAGTGTCTGAGCAGGAAGCACAGAAGCCTTTTGGGTGTAGGTGTGATAGAGGAAGACAAAAGCCAGAGGACAGGCAGGTGAAATGAGGGCTTGTTAGCCACCTGGGGGATTGCTCTACCTTGCAGTAAGATATTACTTGCAACCTGCCTCTATTTATTGGGCAGTTTGTTTCAAAGGGTTATTTGCCTTCTCCAGACCTTAGGGAAATATGTATTTGTTCCATCATGGGAAAGAGCACCTGTCAGTGTTCCACTTTAGACAGCTGTACCAGGAATTCTCCTTTAATAATGCTGTGGCTTTAAGTTATGATTTACTTGACTGCAGAATAAATACATTAAAAAAGAAAAAAATAAAATAAAAGCCCCCATAGATAAGAATGCTAAAGAATGGAAAGTTCCTGCCTATTTTAAGGCACGTTGCTTGTAATCTTTCCTCTATGGCCCAAGGCAGAGTCATCTAGGTGATGTAGAGCTCCTGCTGTAAAGGTGAAATGGTTCAGCCTCTACTGACTCGGCTTGGAGAACACCACCATGGCGGTGACACATGGTTCACCATGCCAAGAGTACAGGGGAGGAGCTGGAGAGTTCTTTAATAAGCAGTTGGAGCTCAGATAGAGCTTGCTCACTCCTTTTTGGCTTGGAAGGGCCTTTATGAAGGGAACTCCTGGTTAGATATAGGGATTGTCTCTTTGCACTTGTAGAAACAATAGAAACAACTGTCAGGACACAGGTAAGACAGGATTCCAGGAAAGAGCCAAGGGACCCTCAGGTGTCAGGGAGCTCAGGAGAAAGGTAGACTAACTCGGTCGAATGGGACAGATAGAAGGAGATTTCTAAAGAGTTTAGTTGTAGGATCAGAAATGTCATTCAGAAAAGAAAGTTATCTTGCTGAGTGAGCTAGCAGTTTTAACTCACTTTACAGCTCTCGCTTCTCTATTGGTATAAACACCAGATAATTGTAATGGTTACAACAGATGCTGCTTCAGATAGTCTCCTCGTTCTTCAGCTTATCTACAGTATATTTACAGTATATGAAGGTCACAAATAATATACACTACAGCTTATTGTATTTGATAACTCGATCCTCACTGTGATGGTGTCAGTCGATTCTCCTTCACAAAGAGAGAGTGTAAAGAGCATACGGTAAAGAGCAAAGTTCTGGAATATACAGACATGCATTCATGTTGAAAGAGGCATTGTAAAGAAAGATGAAACTATATAACTCTTAAATATGTAGTGGAAAATGGTTGTTTGTAGTTCCAGGAGGTACAAGTGGAATGATCAGGTAGCTTCCATCTATTCCTGATATAACACAAAGGAGGACAGTTTGTTAATATCCCAATCTAAACTGCACTGGCAGGGGTGGAGGTGGGAGTGGGTCATGTTTTGGTTTTTAAACGTAGTGTGTCTTTGTAGTCCAATGCAAAGGAACTCACTGTCCGCCTACCTCAGCCTTCTGAATGCTGATATTACAGCCATGTACCACCACGTCTGGATGGGGAAAAAATTACTGAGTGTAATTAACCATAGCAGCTCACTAAAAATACCCCATAGGAGCAGTGATAGTCCAGAGACAGGTCGATCTCTGAATTGAGACCAGTCTGGTTTACAGAACTAGTTCAGGACAGCCAGGGATATACAGAGAAACCCTATCTCAGAAAGAAGGAAGAGAAAGGAAGGGAGGGGAGGGGAGGGAGGGAGGAAGACAAGCCTGCCTAAGGGTCTGGGGAGATAGCTCAGTGAGTAAAGTGCTTGCTATGTAAGCATGAGAACATGAGTTCAGATCCACAGCACCCATGGAAGAGCAAAGCATGACAGCCTGTGTAACCCCATCCTGTGTAATCCTAGCTCCAGTAGGTCAGAAACAGGGGGATCCCCAAAGCTTGTTGGCAGCCAGTCTAGCCAAAGAGGTCGGGTTTAGGTCCAATGAGAGACTGTCACAGAAAGTAGGATAGCAAGTAATAGAAGAGGACACCATTGACCTTTGATCTGTGCACACACAAGGGGAGAACACCTTCACAAATGTGAGCACATAAACCACAGACAGACACACACACACACACACAGAGAGAGAGAGAGAGAGAGAGAGAGAGAGAGAGAGAGAGAGAGAGAG